AGACCAAGACCCAATGGTCACTCTGACTGAGATCCCCTGTAGAGATGGGACAAAGTTCCAGAAGGACAACCATCACTGCAGCCCTCCACTGATCTGGGCTTTATGGCAGAGTGGCTAGATGGAAGCATCTCCTTGGTGCAATTCTAAATGTTATGTCTGGAGGAAACCAGGCACTGCTCATCACCTGCCCAATACCATCCCAACAGTGAAGCATGGTGGTGGCAGCATCATGCTGTGGGGTTGTTTTTCATTCAGCAGCAGGGACTGGGAGACTGGTCAGGGTTGAGGGAAAGCTGAATGGAGCAAAGTACAGAGATATCCTTGATGAAAACCTGTTCCACAGCGCTCAGGACCTCAGACTGGGCCAAAAGTTTACCTTCCAACATGACAATGACCCTAAGCACACAGCCAGGACAACACAGGAATGGCTTAGGGACAACTCTGAATGTCCTAGAGTGGCCCAGCCAGAGCCCTGACTTGAAATTTATTGAACATCTCTGGAGAGACCTGAAAATGGCTGTCCACCGATGGTCCCCATCCAGCCTGATTCTGCTTGAGAGGATTTGAGTGTAGATTAATGAGGAAAAAAAATGAATTTGAACGATTGTAGTTTCAGGCTGCAACATAACAAAATTGAAAAAAGTGAAGGGGGTCTGAATACTTTCCGAATGCACTGTATATGTTGCCAGAGTTTGTTCTTTTCTGTTCTAATTTGAGTAAGACTTCCATTTTTTTAAAGATATCCTTTGCCTTTAAATGCATCTCAGACTGCAATAAAGGAACAGTGGGGGGAAAGCATAATAGATTCATAGGAAGAATTGCCAAGAATTTGCAGGTTCCTAAATAGTCATCTACCTAATTAGCTTTGTGGTTTATGTAATTTGGGCATGCATTTTCAAGGAGGCATATATTGGTGCTGCCCAGTGTTGATTTGCACCCTAGCCCATATAGTTCTATCTAGAAATTCAGCAAAGAAAGTTTCTTGCCATGGAAAAGACAACTCTTTTCCCCTTGTACCCAGGATACTTTTTTTTAATGCTTATAAAAATATGAGGTTTGTCACACTGGTAACTGGATTTGATATTGTGGATTGTATTTTACTAGAAAATGTAATTACCAGTCATTAGCCTTAAACCTAGACTGTCACTTTTACAGGTGGGAACCAGCGTGAACTTTCCCGCCAAAAGAATATGAAGAAAACCCAAGAACTGAACAAAGGGAAAAGAAAAGAGGATACTTTATCAGCTTCTCAGAGGAAACAGAGGTAATATTTGCATAAGCTGTGACACCTATCATATCTTAGTTCATGAGTACATAGTACAGGTTTTGCCTGAAATTTTCCTGTGCTCAGAAAAGCTAGATATTTTGCTATTTTGAAGTTACTGATTTATATTGATGAGTTCAGGCCAAAAACTGAGATGTATTTGTGCTATACTAACTCTGTAGAAATTGGCACAACAAACTGACTTTGTTTTTTTCCCTTTTACAGAGATTCTGAAATTATGCAGCAGAAGCAAAAAGCAGCTGATGAGAAGAAGTCTCTTCAGGCAGGAGCAAAATAATATGTGGCTACAGAGAGGACCTAATAATGCTGCAGCATCTCAAAATATAGGGCCTAAAAAGACATATTTGTAAAAGTAGCCGGCCATTAAATGGTTAATGTTTATCTTTTACTTGCTCGCTTGTCCAGTATGCATTTATTTTAGAATGTTTGGTTAGTATAGTGCAGTTGCAGCTGACTTGGCTTTGATTGAATTATTAGAATCTGGTCCAATAAAATTGGATTTTAAGGTCTTATTTCCCTTTGCATGTCTGTTAGTAACAGTAGCAATAGCTTGAATGCATTTTCATTGTTAAAATGTTTGCTCAGTAAATTGCTTGTGTGACTGTACCAGTTATTATATATGCAAGTAGGCTGGGAAATGTATATGGCAACACTCTTAATATTCAGAAGTGATATTATTTTAAAAGGCCAGATATCTGTACTTGCTTTTCACTTTGTAAAAGGTCAGCTGTAAAGTTAATCATAAATTATTTTTACAATAAAAAATATTGCATGAAGCATTGTCAGAATTGGGTACTCAAGACAGCTCCAATAGATTTTCAGTTATTGCTGAAAGTATGCCATAATTTAGAGAGTCCTTAGTCACACTTAGCACAAATAACTTGCCTTCCATCATGTGTTCTAACTGCAAGCTGAGTATTTAATACCATTCTTCAGTAATTGCAAACCAAGATTCTCTACTATGTAAAATTGCAATTAAAGTCTAATTTGAATGAAAATATAAACTATATTATCTTTTGAGTAAAACTTGGTACAGTATACATATAGCAGCCAAGGAATGGGTTGCTTAATTTTTTAATGCGCAAGGTTATTTCCAATATAGTTGGTGAGGCCCTTATTTGAACAATTAGTTTTACGTGCATAATTGTGCTTCAGCTTGTGACAATCAAACTGACCTAGGATTAAGTCAAGTGATTCTTCTGAGAAAAGCGAATTCTTCTGAACAGTGAAGTTTTATTGACATACTGTTGATTGGAAGAGGATAATCAGGGTGACCTTGACTAAATTCTGAAAAGTTCAAAGACAATGTGCTAGAACATACAAAGGAGAACTAACTGCATTGTTTGAAAGGTACAGATAATTCAGAGTCTTAGGTAAAAGGTTTCAGAATAAATAGAGAACAATTCTTATTGCAATAAGCTGTGGGAGAGTAGAATACTTGCAAAAATCGATGCTCATTTTTCAAGGAATATAGTTAATGCTAGTCTTTCTCAGAGTCTTTATCATTCATAAAGTTGACAGGGCTTAGCATTATCCTTGTTTTAAATATTGTGTGTAAAGCATTTAGGGGTACAGTATTTAATTCACTAAGATTTAACACAATGTGATCATAATTGTCTAGGCATTGGACTGTTGTGAGATTAGGCCTATTGCACATACTAGGATGTGTTACGCATTGTCCCTGTAGAGGGCAGTGCATGGCTAACTTTTCTGGGTTCAAAAATTAAGGATCAGGTGAGAGAAACTACCACAGAAACTGAGAAACTTTGCGTAATAAGACAGTGGCAAACAACTTCCGTACTGTTGCCAAGAAAACTGCATGGATACATTAATGACATCACCAGGAGTCAAGCCTAAAACAAATGAAACCTGTGTGTTAATGTAGATAGAATTGAGTTGTACAAATACAGTAGAAACACTGGCCTGAACTATTTAGTCTGGAAGGGTATTTCAAGGTAAACACATTCTATAGCAGATGACCAATGAGCCATCTACCTTCCAAAGACTTTTCAATCAGTTTTAGAAATGTAAGCTATAGGACCATCCTGTGGGTGTTGAAGTAATTTTTGAACTATAATTTTTGTCATTTTCAAAACAACAGCATCAGGGATGGGTTACAGAAGAACCCTGAAAAATACATTGCCATTTTAAATGCTATATGTGAGGAACAAACAAGAATACAGCAATATGGAATGAAATAAAACCACTTTATTTGAGAAGAATGATTCCTTCCTTTTGAGCCTCAAAATTTAAAAAAGGGAAGGCCTTTTCATTCATGGCAAGTTTAAGATAACAGGTTTAGTACCCACTTGTTTCCTGGCTTGGCAAAGCTAATTATTTTACAAGTGGTAGCATTAGGCAAAGTGAGGCAGAAATCTGAGGCAGTAAGGAAACAAAACTACCTACAGGATTTTCTGTCTTGTATCAAATTAAGTTTGGGTACCATTAAAGCTGTCCTGCAAAAGCCAGAGGACCAGCAGATGGCAGCAAAGGGACATTGGGATATTTCAAATATGGTAGCGCTAGTATTCTGCACCTCAATTTTGCAGTAGGTGACATTTGTTGGTCAACCATTGGTTGCATAAATACTTACAGACTGATAATGAACTTTTGGTCATTAGTTTTAGTGTAACTCAGCCCTCGCTGTATTGATTTTGTCAAAACAGTACTATAATACCTATCCTTGTTTGCTAACAAAAAGCATCATCTTTGGTGGTGGCGGAAGGGATACTTCTGAGTGCACTAATTGATTGCATTAATAGCAACTGGCAGGTATCTCCATCCTGCTCGCTGGTACTATACCAATTACCGATCAAGTTTACTTCAAGAAGAGGTGAAAGGAAGCACAATAATGCTTATACGCCATAGATAAGATACGTGTTGAGGCAAGCAAGCGGGAAGAAGCAGGTCGGTTGATCGTGGGTGAAGGATTGTCAGACTGATTAAATTATGGGCTGCGGACGAAATAAGGCGGCATCCCGAGATCCACGCGAGACACTGGCAGTCCGCTGGAGATACGAATCGAAAAGGAGAGCGTGGCTCGCGGCTATAGAATTATTCTTGAAAATCCGAAGTCAGGGACTTTCTATGGGTAAAAGGCGATTCCCAATCTGCTGGTGTCCAGGTGTACTAGATCATGGCTTCCAAAATCCCTCGCTGCTGCTCCGGTTGGCTGGAAATTTGGTAGGTTATAGGCCGCCCGGGCGCCCTCGCTTCTGGAGAGCACCCGCTGAGCCGCTGCTTCCATGCGCTGCTGGCCACCGAGAACCGCCGCCGGTGGACTCAAGCCGAAGCCCTGCCAGCGAAGCGACGGTCTTCTCCTAGCAAGGGGAGACGCGGAGCCTCCCAACCAGCAGGGGACGGTACCGCGCCGGTGCCACGAAGCTGGCCGCGCTTGTAGACGCCTCCGTTGGCGGAGCTCCTCCCAGCCGATGCTTGGCGGAGGAGGCAGCGGCCGCGCGGTGGCCTCCGGGAAAGGCGCCTTCCTTCGGTCGTACTGCGCTTTTCGCTCCGGCTGCGAAGCTCACATGGCTTCCCGCGAAGAGCACGATGCGGTCCTGTTCAGACGGGGGGCCGGGCAGGTACGGTGCTAGGCGGAGCCGGGGGGTCGGGTCCCTTCGAGGGCCTCTCCTTTCCTTCGTGATAGCCACGGTCGAGTGGCTGGCCAGTAGCTCCGGAGCCATTCCGCTTCGAGGCAAAGGAAGGAAAACGGTGAGGGAAAATAAGCCGCTGAATTTAAACGGAAGGGAGGAGGGGGCGATGGAGTCCGGGCGTTGGTCTGAGCGGCCTTCACGCTGCCCGAAATGCGAGGAAGCGCAGCGCTCCTTCTGCAGGGAGGAGAGGCAGGCAGGAGTTTCAGGAACCGAAGCTGCGCTGGGCACGGGGCGAAGTGTTGGTGACGCTTGGCGGAGCTTCAGAAAGTGTGTCGTGCTGCAGGGCGGGGAGGTGTGTAAAGTTGCTGCTTTTACATCCCACGTGGTAGAGTCCACTCGGCTGGCCCCTTCACCCAGAGCTTCCAGTCCAGCATGTCATGATACTCCTGAAACACAGTAATGGTGATGTCCGGTAAAAACCAAGATTATTTACATTGAACGGCTCATTGTTGTGACTGTCAGCTGTGTTTTTTTAACTTCTTCAGAAAAACCTGTGGTTTCTTTATTCTGCTTTTCACAGAGTGATGATTCTGATATATGGGATGATACAGCACTCATAAAAGCATATGACAAAGCAGTTGCATCTTTCAAGGTAAAACACACAATGGAATTGATCATTTACTGTGCAAAGATGTTTTTGCTGAAATGTATACATCACGTACTCTTTTTCCTTCTTGACCATTAAACTAACTAGGAACCGAACAGAAAACTCTAAAGAAACAAGTACAGAGATGTAGTAAAAGTACAAAAACTTCACAAGGCAAAAAGTTTCAGGAGGAACACATGTTTACATATGTTCAAACACACTTAGAAAATAAAGTTTAACATGCTGTTTACCTTGGAAAAAGTTCTGGAAAATTAAACATGTGCCAGGACTAAGCCCCAAGGTTGGCTACTCTTCAGCGGTCCAAAAAGTATACCAATCATGTTCCGCTTAATTTAATTTTGTAACAAATTTGGTAAAGAAGTCAACATAGTTTTTTAAAGAAGACTTTTTATTATTACTTTTAGTAATATAAGATGTTCTAGTTAAATAGCCAAAATTATGAGTCCTTGGCTTTGTGCCTGAACTTTCATTCTAATGTGGAACTCTCTTTATGCATATGTATTTATGCAGAGGTAAGCAAACTGAATTTGAACCATTACACCACATTCTCATTTTCTGAGAATTACATGGCACTTGAAAGCTTACAGAAGTTTTTAAGAACTACATTGTAGGAACTACAGTTTAAAAGAGAGACAACCAATCCATCTGCCAGTATGATCTTCAGGCACATCACCAAGTTGAGTCATTGACGGACTGTTTGTACAACCTCCAGAAGTTTCTTTTTACATGCTATTTTGATTTATTGCATTCTATATATTGAATAATTATTTCAAATGATTTAAAATCTTGTGTTTTAAACAATCAAAAGTATGTTGTGTTTAAACAATCATAATAGTTAAGAGGCTGGTAGTTGTAACATGAGGTTTTAGCAGTGGGTGTTGAATATATAAACGGTGATTTGCTTGAGCTGGTTGCAGAACCAATGAGCTTGAAAACTAAGGAGAAATGGATCTAGTTAGTACTTGACTGGAAGTCTACCAGGAATCCCAGGGCTGTAGGCTAGACTGTAGAGTCAAAGAAGTTTCTTAGAAGAAGGCAGTGGCACACCAGTTGCCAAGAAAAACACATCTATGTAGTCATCAGGAATCAAGCCCAACTTGAAGAAATGCCCACTTTTACCAATTTCTTTACTTTCTCCCACAGAATGCCTTGAAGAATGATGACTGTTCAGAGCCTTTGGACAAAACTGACCAAAATGCTGGAGCAAAAAGAAAAAATAATAAAAAGAATAAGAGTAGAAAGAAAAGTAATGCTACAACACAGAAACAGGTTATTGTTGGGGATATGGTAGAACACACTATTTAGAATTAATAAAAGATGAACCATTTGTAATTACTGTTTTGTTGAACAAAAAGCATTTTTTAAATGGACTTCAAAAAGGAAATGAAACCTAAAAGAAAATAAAAAGATGAAAATTGTTCTCTGATGAAACAGATAGGCAGCAACGCTTCAATTATTTAATTCTGTTTCACGTGAAATTTGACAGAGAAATTGAAACATCGGCTATTTGCCAAAATTTAAGCTTTTTGGTAGGTTAGTTGTTTTCCAATTATTAAAATAATTTATTATTAAAATGGTTTACTATTGTTAGCAAAATAGTATGTTTATGGAGACTATTGTACATTTCACATTATTTGAATCAGTGTTTCTAGCTGGTGCACTAGAACTATTTCAGTAGAGATAATAAAGCAGGAACTCTTAAAACATGAATTTCAAATTTAAAAAGTGACTTGACATTCAGTGACTAAAGCTAGCATATTGTAACTAACAAATGTTGAATGTCTGTTTTATGTAATTTATGATAAAGATATACTGCCCTTCATCATACAAGATGTCAGGGCCATAAATATACTATGTGCATAAAAGTGACACTGCTATCCTAGTAAAGTGCAACAAATTAAATAAGCTTTTGCTGGGGCACTGTATACATTTTTAAATGCCAGGGTAAATAAAAATAACTACGCAAACCTAAGAATTTATGAAGTAGCAAGAGCATTGTACTATGAAAAGGCTGTTTTTCTTTATAATTACGTAATACAAATCCAAGGAAGCAATTGGAGCAAACCCTCAGCAGAAGATTATAAGATATATATTTGTATGGGATGACACATTTGTTTATTTATTTGCCTCTGAAGTTTTTCTTTAAAGCAATACAGCTCTTTAAAACTGGCATAATATGAGCTGATCTGATTTACCATCAGATCTCAAAAAACATCCACCTACACAGCTTCCACCTTATTCACGTTGGGTTTTTTACCCTTCCACCAATCCATTAATACATCCGGAACTACCTTAACTGTTCATAATGTTTATTGCATAAAAATAATGTCACAGTCTTGTGCTAGGAGGCAGATAGTAAATATATAGTAAGGTAGGGGAGAAATTTGATTTGAAGCCCCATTGATACAACTTCTTTCCTTTCAACGTAGTGGAGAGTTAATGATGCATGTAGTGCAGTTTGGTCCGAAGATGGCAATGTATACCAAGCATCTATTACCTCAATTAACTGGAAGAAAGGAACTTGTGTAGTAGTTTATACTGGATATGGTAATAGTGAAGAGCAGAATTTGTCAGATCTTTTACCACCGATGGATGCTGAGGGAACTAATGAAGAGAAAAGTGCTGCTGAGGTGAGGCAAATGTAACAATTTATACCAAATAGGAAAAATATTATAGGTGTTGAGGTTCTAATAGAAGTAGACTGCAGTTAGATGCAAATTTATGTTTTCTTGGTAGATCGTATACAGGAAGAAGAGATGTAGGAACCAGCATAATAGCTATATTGATTTCTCATCACTCTCTTTAATATCTTCATGTTCAGGGTGGGACTTCTGCAATGTGAGGTCTGTACATTTCCTACACAATATAGAATCCTGATTTTTTTTCAAAGTTCTGCATCTCATGAGGCGCCTAAATGGATGTAACAAGTGTCCTGTTGCAGAAGTTTGCCCTGAACTTAAGATGGCAGTTGAAGGGAGCTAGTGTTCTTATTTCCATTATCCCTTTTCATGTAGTCCACAAAGAAAATAAATACCAGGAAAAGGGATTGTGTGGGAAGTAAAAGCAATACAGATGAAATATAGCATTGTTCTTCAGTTGACTAAACTTCTAATTTAGCTCCTTAAGACTGTTACTGAGGTCTAATATTATTTAGGCCATTGTTTCTTTCACTCCCCAGAATCTGTCCAGAACATTAGGATGAATGGCTTATAGTAAAAATAAATAACTTATTTTATACTAGCTCCCTTTATATTTTTGAAATGTCTCCACATAACCTGCTGTAGTTTTCAAATCAAGGCTACCAACAGAGAAATGTATTTGCAGCTTAATAAGTTCAAGTAGCTAAAAGGATACACCCTCTCCTCATTTAGTGACCACAATCTGTTCCAGCGACTTTCTGATTAAGTGAAATGGTCACTAAGCGAACACATGAGAGAGAAAAAGAGAAACACTAGTGTTGCCACCTCATTCAGATAAAGTTCTCTATACAGTGTCCTGTGCTTGACCCATTTTTTCCCCTTTTTTGCCCCCTCACATGGTGGCAAGATTGCCTAAACAAGTGACTTCTTCCTGAGCTGCTTTTCTCTGCAGCTCAGCACTTCCCTAAAAAAGTATTAACCACAAGTTAACAATCTCAGCTGTGTGATCTTAACTAGCTGATTAGAACCCTCACTAGCTGGAACTGCTGCCTGAAACTGACCAGACCTCAGTCAGTTTTACACTGAAGGTTTTTGTCGTCAGGTGCACGAGATTTGGTCGTAAATGCATGCATTGGTCAAGAAATGAATTTTTTATTACCAGTTATTACCATTGTATTTGCAAGTGGTCACTAACTGAGGCAGTCGCTAAATGAGGAGTAGGTGTACATGTCTTCATAGGGGAAGTTATTGAAACTATTTGGATATTCAGAAATAAGGTTTTTAGTAGCATTTAAAACAGTATATTTTACAGACAATAAAATGAAAACAAAGAGTATAGTGCATTTTACAAACTATATTTATATAGCTTAAATATCTGCTGCACATTCATAAAATTTAATAATTCTTTCCAGAATGAAAATGAGACTCAGTATTCAACAGATGAAAGTGACTTTTCCTTCCGGTCACCTCAAAGCAAACACAATCATACAAAATCAGCGCAGTGGAATTCCCACTTTCCTCTTCCACCATCACCTTCAGTACAAGGCTCAGGAAAGGTAAGTTTATAAGCAAGTTGGAAAGCTTTTATCTTACTAGACAATGGCGTTCACAAAATTAAATTGTAGTTATATTAATACTTAAGATGCAGTATTGAAACTAATTTTATGAGGAAGGAGATATTGGAAACCCTTCCATGAAAAACATGTGTTCTAAGTTTAATACTTGGGATGTTCATATTGGATGGGAAAGACTGAATCCATAGGATGTTGCCACTAGAGATTATATTGAACAAGATGAATAAACACAGTTCTCTGAAAAAGTATTTGTCCCTCTCTCAGATTTTCTGAATTTTTGTGAATCTTTGCCACTGAATGTTATCAGAACTTCGTGTGAGCCTTATTAATGTATAAAGACAGTCTGAATAAATAAACATCACCATTTTCTGCTTTGTCCATAAACGAAATCATCCAAGAGGTAGTGTACCAGTGTGAAAGCCTAATTGTCTCCCTACTTCAGACAATTCAGTTAACAAGAATAACTAAGCAACTAGTGTGAGTGTTCCATTAAACAGGTTGATTTGGGCCAAATCTACCCTATGTAAATCTCACAAATTTGGCTCCCCTCATAGTGCATTTCTTGCTGCATGGATTCTGGAGGCATGTCATGTCCCACTCAAAAGAACTTTCTGAGGATTTTGAAAAAAAAAGTGAAGCCTATCTATTTGGAAGAGGTTCCAGAAACATTTCTAAAGTTCTGTGGTTCAATTTACAATCGTAAATGTTGCCTTAAAATAAAGATGATTTTAGAGAATAGTGACATTTCCTATCCTCACAAAATCACTCCAAGAGAACATTGTTAATCAAACAAGCAAACTAGACACAAAATACTTTTCAAAATAACACCCAGGGATCTGCAAGTCTTTTTCACCTTGGCTAAAGTCACTCCATCATCAGAAAAGCACTGGGTAAAAATGGGATTCAGGGGTAAGAAGCAAAAGAGAAGCCATTGCTCACTAAGAAAAATGTTGATGCTCATCTCAGGTTTGCCCAAGAGCATCTGCATGACTCCCCAGGCTTCTGGAGGAATGTTTTATGGACTGTTGAGTCAAAAGTAGGCTTTCCATTTTATATGGGCGCTGTTAATCTGATGATTAATCAGACCCACCTCCCACCTGCCAGGTATGAATATGGTAGTATCTTTGCTTGGGGATGCTTTGCTGCTTCCGAATCTGGATGACTTGCTGAAGATAGCATGAATTTACTTTGTATCAGAGAATTCTGCAGGAAAATATCAGGTCACCTGTCAGCTGAAGGCAAAATAGAAGAATAAAAGAATGGATGAAAAATAACAAATTCAGTACTTTGGAATGGCTAAACTAAAATCCAGACCTAACCTCTTAGAAGTGTTGTCCACTACCTGAAATTAAACAAGTTAATCAAGTCTAGTAGAAACATGTAGTTCACTATGGAGGAACAGGCCACCATTCCTATCCATCATTATTTAAAGAAAGGATTTGATTGCAGTTATGCAGCTAAAGGTGGTATAACCAATTACTGAATCCAAGGAGGTGGCTGTTTCTTTCATGCCAGGACATTGCATGTCGGATGACTTCATGTATGAAATAAATGAAACAAGCAACACATTTTGATGTTCTTCATAGATTTCCTGTATGTAATTGTAGGACCCGTATAAAAGCTCTGATAATGTTCAGTGGCAAAAGATGTGCAAAAATTCAGAAAATTCAAAAGGAGTCAAATGCTTTCAAACAGAATTGTAGTCTTAATTTGTTATGAAGTAGCTTTCTATCTTCCTATAATATATAAATAAATATAAAAGAAATAGTTTCCACCCTGCACTGTTTATTAAGGCAGGATTAAAAGTACTATCTTATAAGCCTGCAAACACCTGTTGTACTTTTGTGTTATTGGGAATAAGGAGGCTTTCCTTTCTTAGCAGCTCATTTGGTTTCTGCTCTTGTACAGAGAAACAGCAGAGTACTCCTCACCAATGGATACCAAGCTACTGTCGAAATCTAAGATTACAGTAGTCTGTATCACAGTTTAATGTGTCCTACAATCTATATGTATGAGGCAGAGACATCCAGATAGTCCAGAGACTTCATGAGAATAATGAAATAGGCATCATGATGTTACAACACAAGCTGTGTCCCTTGTATAGGTATATGCAATGTCCAAAAGAGCAGACTTAATGCCTTGATATATATTTCATCATTCCCCCCCCCCCCGTGATCCATGAGATAAGGAAAGCTTAATAAAGATGTGGTAGCTTTATTAAAGTTTCAGAACAGTGCTGTGAAGTTCTTAATGACAGATTTGGTGGGAGTGTGTTGATGTATCTTGCATTATGCATTTTGTCATTGTTGGTATAATGAAAAACTTCTACTGAATTTGAAAATGACATCTATCTAGGCTGGAAGGAAATTCACTGGGCCTCCACCTTTCTTATCAGGCTGGTCTCCACCATTTCCATCAGGGCCACCGGTGAGTGATGATAGGCAATAAAAGGCACGTTGTAGTTGTCAGAAGTAAACTATGCTGTTGGGTCTCTAGTTGAGACTTGTCATGAAATGTTCCCCTACAATTTTTATTCCATTAATTCAGTTAATTTTGCATTAAGGATTTGTCCAAATTTAATAAGCAATAATAAAAATGTAAAAGCTACATTACAAGTTACTAATTCTGGAATTTGCATGTTGTGGTTTTAGCTAGTTAAAATGTAACTCTTGTCTCTAGCATAAGTGCTTTCCTTTTTGTTTTTGTAAAGTAAAACTAGCCTGTCCAGCTTATAAATTTGTCCCTTATTTTTCTAGTTGATACCACCTCCTCCACTTCTTAGTTCAGATTCTCCTGATGATGATGAAGCTTTAGGAAGTATGTTAATAGCTTGGTATATGAGTGGTTACCACACTGGCTATTATCTGGTAAGACATCTTTTTTTTCCTTATTAAAATGCAAACTGCCTACCTTATCAGATTTATTGCTGCTAATAATAAAATAAATAGGTGGTTTATGATAATATGGCTTTTTTGAAAGGAATGTTCTATATATTGAGATTGATGTAAAAACTTAATGTAAATATTAAACCATGTAGTTTAAGGGGATAGTTCCTCACTCTTCAGAATTGCAGTAATTAGCCATCTTTCCATTTATATTCTATTTTCTATTTGTATTTCTACTTTATTTTTCTATTTGATTATCATAGTGATAAATGCTGATAAGTAGATCTTGGCTATCTGCTTCCCTGGGCTATCTCTTAAAAAAATATGCAGTAATAATTTACTTAGTAGATAGTACTACTACCTAATAGTAGTAATATTATTTATAATTATTCTTCAATCAAAAGACTCCCAGAACTTCATTAAAAAAATAACAGTAAGATACTTCCTGCTCAGAAATTCCAGACTACAAGAAAATGAATGGGATGAGATGGAGATTGAATGTCTATGGCTCCTAATTAGATTGTCCACATGGATCTGTTCTATGTCAGATTGTACTCAGCTCTACACTGTAATCTTTTCACCACCTGATTTGTTCAGTTCCTCTTTCTTTTTCTTATTTTCTGTCTTCTTAATATATTGCAAATGACTTCAAGTTAGAGTATTCTTTCTTAATTATGTCTGGAGGATTGTAATAGCTCTCTCCCTATATTCAGTTCTTTGCTCAGTTACTGCCTCAGCACTATCTACTGAGGTATAAGGGAGCATTCTACCCTGAAGAGGCTTCAGATACTATTGATGAAGACAGATTGAGCATTGTAAATCCAGTATCCTTCCTGGGAAGAGTTGCTATGCTGCACTTGTATGAATTTCTTCAAACATTTCATCCACATTTGGAAGTGCACTGAGCCAAAGAAACAAATCTGGCAGTCCTTAAGATTGTTTAAGCCAAGTGCACTTGCTATCACAACGTGGTTTCATGAATTGCTCTTTGCCTTAAGAGTGATCCAAATAAGAAATTTCAGAAACATCAGCATTAAAGACAGATCATCACACCAAAATCTTCTGGACGGAACTGGCCTTAATCAGATACTTATTTTTCATATTATTATGTTAATATGAAATTAGATTCTGAATCTGCAGAGATACCTTTATTGCAAACTCATTCTTTGTGTGAAGAAAATGAGAGAATGTTGTAAAACAAAAACTCAGTACCATTGATGATGCTCTAGGAGTTTGCAGCTGAAAATGTGAAATAGGACGATAATGATGATGATGACGACAGTGATATAGGTTTATAAAGCGGTCAAATTAAAAAAAAGATGTAAAGCGGTATACAAAATACAAACATTAAGAACACACATCCAAATATTGAAATGCCAACACATTGAGTAAATATACAAACAAGAAATTCCAGCATCCACCACTAGTCAAGCAGGATCACAAATTGCCCAGGCCTCTGGCCTGTTTGAAAAGCCCAAGTTTTAAAGCTTTTCTAAAGCACAGCTGAACAGGGACAAAAGAGACATGGGAGAGAATGGTATCCCAGAGGGCAAGTATATCAGTTGTTTGGATTAAATATACTACTTTTCTGCTTCATCGTAAACTAAACTTAAAATCAAAGCTTATCATTTGTGTTTAAAGAAAAACAGCGCAAACTATACAGCTCATGGACTTGCACATAGAAATTTTAATACCTTTAATTGTGGGGAGCCCCCCCTCCCCTTTTCCAGATATCCAGTGGTGGATCAGTGGTGTTCACCTAAGAAAAAAATTAGATTAGTTTGAATTGTTATTTCCGTTATTTGTTTCTTACAGGACTGCAACATGAATTAATCTTTAGTTTCAAACTGTATCTTGCATTGCATAGGGTTTAAAGCAGGGCCGAATGGAAGCTACCTTGGAAAGACACGCCCACTCAAAGTAACTCTGGTAAGTACTGCATTTTATTAATTGTGCAGTGGAAGATATTCCTTTGAATGTACTGTATAAGGTGGGTCCCTGACCAAGTATCTCTTAAGAATAGATGGCAAAAGCATGTCTTGTGGTACTCATTGTTAGTTGCACCTAGAAACTTATAGAATACTATTGTTGAATCCAAAGTTGCTGCACAGGGGATGGGTTAATCAAATCATTGGGAGTAGTTTTTCCAATTTTTCACTATATATATTTTACATACGTAAGAAGAATAAGTGTTTAAGCATCAGATTTATAACAGTTATATGTAATCCTGGATGAATCATAAAGTTCATAGTATTGGCAAATAGTATTGGCAAGGTTGTTCTCAAATGAATTTGCCTTCCCACATGATGTCTTTAACAATTTCTCAGAGAGAAAGAGTCCACCTCTACCCCTGTCAGCAGAGGAGCCTCACTGATAACAACACAATTGAACAGAGAATGCTCAGAGATGAAAATCTGCCACTAATGCATTTGTCTACATTATTTTCATTGCTAGCAAGACTACTGACTGGGTTACCCTGCTGTTATCATCCTGTGGTCATCCTTAGGTGCATATTTTGGACAAATTGAATAATCTTCAGGTAAATTCTGATAATTTAAGTCCATGCTGATTCTTAGAGTCAACTTCCAAGATGAAGACTTACCTTCACTTCTAGCTCTACAGCAACATTATCCTGATGTATTCCACGTTGTAGTTGTGGACAGTAGCAATGACCTGAGCTGAAAAACTGCTTTCGTGCGTGGACTATCCAGGATCCAGGACTAGAACAACTCTTTTGTCAGTTAATGGTCGCTTACTATCATTCAACTGGTTTGAAATATTGGTCAATAAAATTAACCTTTTCCAAATTGATTTTCTTTTTTCTTTTTCAGTAAGCTTACTGATATCTAGAACAGGTAGAAAGCATGTTTTAGCTCAATGGCCATGTTCCCTTTTGTGGAGTCTTCTATAGACTAAACACAGATAGTTACATATTCTCACATGGACCAACAGAGCACAAATTCATGCATATACTGCATGAATTAAGTTCCCTACAAAACTCTCTATTTTCCATTTAAAAGCTGTTTTTAAAAGCCTCCCATGGCATCACCACTGATTTCAATTTTGACGCAGTGAGGAAGCCACAGATAGGAGAAGGCCCTATTTTTCATCTAATTTTATAACTAATCTCTTGTTACTCTTTGTATGATAATTATTGTGCTTTGAATACGTGTTATCAGCAGTTAAACACAGCTACGTATAATCTATTTATTTTACTAATTTTCTCAAGTATTCTGAAGGTTTACCATTAGCACTACTTTTTGAAATACTAACATTTTCCACTATAGCAACTTTCTCCCATGCATTATCACCCACATTCTTTAAATATTAGGTTACTCAAGCCTGCTGTAAGTAAGCTCTCTGTCGACCTTGTGAGGTAGTCCAGACAAGAAGCACAAACAGAAGTTCTAAAGTACTCTATCTTTATTGTAGGTTACATTAACAGAATCTTGCAAGTCTGAAAGTGCCTCTCTCCCTGCTCACCTTTACAGTCTAAGAAACTAGGGAGGGTCCCTTCTGAGACTTTTGCCATGCCCCTGTTCCTTCTGCAGGCTCAGCTGCCTGTTATCTGACTGTTGCCTAATCTGTGGCTCTTCCTCCTGTCTCCCAAGGTCATTCCCATATACCATTATATTCTCTCATTAAAGAGGTCAGGCACTTTAGTTATCTTTGGTCTAATCTAAGTAATTGCAGTTTAATCCTTGATGCATAGAGTAGTACCCCCACCCACACACACATCCTCTGCAACACTCAGGATGACAGGAATGAGCATTGTGAGCATTGTCATTATCACTGCATGCTCTTTGCCCTCACAGGCAAACCCTATGGGAGTGAATTAATGGACATTTGCACTTGGAGTCTTCAAGACATCTGCATGGGATCTTGGAGGAGAATTTTTGAACAATGTTCTCAAGTTCATCTTTTTTTTTTTTTTATCCTGCCTTTATTACTTTTATAAATAACTCAAGGTGGCAAACATACCTAATACTCCTTCCTCCTCCTCTTTTCCCCACAGCAACAACCCTGTGAGGTGAGTTGGGCTGAGAGAATGATTGACCCAAAGTCACCCAGCTGGCTTTCATGCCTAAGGTGGGACTAGAACTCACAGTCTCCTGGTTCTAGCCTTAACCACTAGACCAAACTGGCTCTTTTTTGCAAGAAAACCAGCTTTTTGTAAATCACTTTTCTTTGTGCAGTCTTTTATTATGCAATATTTCTTCTCAAGAATTTCCTCCTTTGAACTCAAAATATGCATAATACAGGGCATGTAGCTTGGTGGTCTTTCTCTTTTATCTAATGCCTATATACCAATATAGTGGTGTGCTATCTTAACTCATATACTATGACAGTTGTGTTTTGAGCAGCATGGTCAGTGTAGGAGATTGTAAGATCACCACTTAATTATTTATTTCCCTTGTTCACATATCATACTAAGACTTAGTTTGCTTAATAAAATTGCTGGGTGTACAGTGTTGCAAAACCAGTTTTATTTTGTCAGAAGTAATGGGAAATAATCAAAGCAGTTTTTCTTACTAGCTGCTCCTCAGGCGTGGTCTTTAGCCAAAGATTCTGTTTCAGGAAGTAGGGATGAATGCAGTGTATGTTTGCTGGCTAGCAGTATACCTAATAAATCACATAGACACATATAATATAAATTACAATACATTTATTAAGGTTATACTTAGGTTCCCTGCTATAGACAGATAGAGGCAGAAAACATGCACTGGGATAATTCCTCTGGTCAGGGTTGCAAGACTAAAGGAGATGAACCATGCCCAAGATGTGAACTGAGTTTTATATCTCTTCAACAACATCATGACCTTATCCCAGAAGCTGCTTATATTTTGCAGGGACAGCAAAAAAAAATGTAGAAAGGTAAAATAACAATTGTGAAATTATTAAAAGAATTGACAACACATCAGCAGGAATGACTTACCAGTTGAGTGCAACAAAGGAGAAAGGAAAAAAGTGATGCAAGCAGGTTAAATATGGAATGAAGATAGGTATGTCTGAAATAGGACATGAAAAGAATGCTGACAGATGGGACAAAAAACAGGAAAATGAAAATAGCAGTAATTCTTCACAGATAGGCCTAGGGTGGAGGTCTCCAAATGCATGTCTGTCACTATTCCATAGATTTCTAAATCAAGTCAGTAAAAAAGAAAGGATGCTAATAGAAAAGTAGCAAGTCAATCAAGTGGTGGCATAATTTCTTCTAAGTGTATTTTGAGGATAAACAATGAAATGTAAAACCTTATTGATGATGATGTTAGCCGTTCAATTGTATCCGATTCTCAGATTTTCTGTGGATCTTAAAATCTTATTACTACTGTGTTAAAGGATTTTTATTCTGAGATTATCTCTTTTTTTCCTAGTGGTGTAGTATCTTTGGTATGGAAGAGGAGAAGAAGCTTTAATATACTACATTTCACTTACTTGGAAGACCAGTTAATTATAAACAATTAAAACTGTATTTAACAATACATTTTTAGGAATTGTTAGTATGGGGTATATGTTGTTTCTCTATAACAAAACTCTTCCTTAAAAATTGATTACTCAATTGTAGTTTACTTTGTCAACTATAAATATAAACATTTAACAATCATCAGTCTTTGGGGAGAACGTGGGAAACTTTGATGTAAGATTATGGCTATTTTAATTATAATTTCTGAGGTCAATGGGTGCCACCTAATGGTGTTGCAAGCACCAAATGTAGGATGATGTGAACCAAATTATTGCATCAGCTTCATGACTGACACAAATTTCTGTTGACAAAAACATGGCTATGGATTAAAGAACTACAGGTGGTGTTAAGTACGTTCCTCCCTTCTGCTGTTCTTTTGGGTTGTTATATCATTTTGCTGCTGTATCATAATTTAGTGTATCAGTGGAATTCCATTGGCATGTCTGTCTTTGTGGCAACATCTTTCAAGTTCCAACAGAATAGGAAAGGTCCCGCCATCCCCTATCCTATTACTTGGCAGATATTACACATAGATTATCAGAATAAATTGTTGATTATATTGTCTGCTATTTTAATGTGCCTAAGTAAATGTATACATAGACCAGCCCATTTATTAGAACAATTTTCCTTTTTTTCTACTTTTGTACAATTGGTGGACATGATAACACCCACTTCCATATTAAACACAAACTTTTTGTCTGTGGATGTTATTTCTTCGTCACTTCAGTCATTCTGAGGCCATCCTTATCAAGCAGCCATTCCATCATGCTAATTTGAGGCTGGGCATCTCTGAATCATACTAAATAAAAGACTCCACAGTTGTTGCTTGGCATTTGATTTGACTGGAATCTATTTTTGTAATATTGGCATATTGGGCGATAAGAAGCTTCTCCAAGCAGATTCTGAAATGATATGATTTCCTCTGAGGTGCAGAAGTTCAAGTGTATGAAAACCATCGGCTGCTATGTTTAGTAGAAATAAAGATAAAATACAGTATTGGAATATTATAGGATCTTGGCTGACTTCAAAAAGCTTAGCCAGTTTGGACTTGCTCAGTTCTTGGATGGGAGACTGCCGGGATGTTCAAGAACTCTAAGCTAGACTATAAGATAGAAGTAACCTTAAACAATCCTGGCATAAAGCAAAGGCAAACATCTTCCATACTGTTGTCAAGAAAACTACAAGGAGGTGGCCATGTAGTCACTTGAAGTTGAGTTCTGGTTACAGGTGACTTTCATGCAATCTGAAAAACACTCAAAGCAAACAGAGGGGATCGTGTCCAAATACATCTTCCTGCTTACAGAATATGCTTTGATTCTGACAAAAGCTTCCCTGAACAAGATTAATTTTAACAAATGTCCTCTTTCCATCAGCCTATTGGGCCACCACCAGTTTTGTTCTAAGGGATCATCCAACATTTTGACTAATTTTTTCCAAGATAGGAAACAAATTAGCAAAAGTCTCCCTTCCATCATGCATAGAAAAGCCTCCAATGGATCAAATACAGCTCTGAATCTGGCATGTGCTGCCAATTATCTGTCTGTCTGTCTATCTGTCTGTCTGTCTATCTATCTATCTATCTATCTATCTATCTATCTATCATCCCACCTTATTTCTATAAATAACTAAAGGGCAAACATACCTAATACTCCTGCCTTCTGTTTTCCCCACAACAACCCTATGAGGTGGTTTGGGCTGAGAGTGACTGGCCCAAAGTCACCCATCTGGCTTTCATGCCTAAGGCGAGACTAGAACTCACAGTCTCTGGTTTCTAGCCTGGTGCCTTAACCACTAGACCAAACTGGCTCTCTTAGAAAACTTTATTACTAAAAGCAAAGACATCCTTATTACTGAAAAATACCTGATATTTCTGGTAGTATCTTGCAAGAAGTCATTATATCCATAAGGACCTCTATCAGAGAAGTCAAAATGATTAAATGAAAAGCAAATTTGGAAAGTGCCATATAAATTCAACTGTAAAAGAATTTTAAAAATGTATTTACTTATTTATTCGACTTAGACTCCACCCAACTCCAATTGACTGGGCAGCTCACAGAATAAAAACAACAATATACAATCCAAATGAAAAACAATGAACAAGATGGAAATCTGCTCAACAGTAACATACATCCTACAGGAGGCTCCAACCACCTTAGCCTAAAACCTGGGAGAAGAGCCAGGTTTATAAGGCCCTCTGGAATGCCATCAGGATGGGAGCCACCCAGATTTTAGGAAGAACTTTATTCCAGAGGCCGAGTGCCATAACTGTCAGCCTTGCAAGGTAGTCCAGACAGGAAGCAGGCCCAGATGAACTAATTCTATCTCATTGTAAGGTTACATTAACAGAATCTTGCAAGTCTGAAAGTACATTTCTCCCCCGTTGCCTTTACAACCCAA